TGAGGTACGACCTTGGTGGAGGAGGTGTCACTGGGGTTTGAGGTGACATTTATCCCCCCCCCCACACACACACTGCTGCCTTTGCCTTTAAGAACAAGATGTGAGCTCTCAGCTGTTTCTGCCACCTTGCCTTTACTTGGCCACCATAGACTCAACCCTCTGAAACTGTAAGTCCAATTAAACGCTTTCTTTTACAAGTTGTATTGGTTCTGGTGTTCCGTCACAGCAATAGAAAAGTAACTAAGATGACTGGGAGGGGAGTGAATTTATCCAGCTAGTGAGTCTACTACCAATGATAGACTTCCCCCTCAGGGGAGAGGAAGTGGACTGTGTTATTTATAGCAGGGTAGGAGTGTTGAGGAATAATGGAGAAACCACATTGTGATGGCGATACAGACTCCAGGAGTGCATCAAAGGACTGAATAGAATTTCAGAAATTCAAGGACTTGAATTTGCTATGTAGCTGAGGATGACCTTGAACTTTTATCCTCCTGCCAAGAGCCAAAGTTACTGGGGTGCTAGCAGTCTTTTTAATCTAGTGCTTGGGACTGGATTCAGTGCTTCAGGAGAACAGTCCTTCAACTGAGCTGCACCCCTTTCCTTAACTGGGGGATGTCGAGAGCTAGGGGAGAAAGGTCCACTACAGTGAAGGCTCCCCTAGGAGGGTAGAGGCCCAACGCTTGCCTGGAGAATGCTGTGCTTCCTCCGAAAGAGTGACTTTCTTTAGAAGGCATGCTTGTGATGATCTCATGGGGAATGAGGAAGGACGAAGAAGCGCCAAAGCCATTACAGTGCTAAAAGTTCTGTTTTAAGAAAATAAGACTGTAAACTGGACTCAGTGGCGAACGCCGGTAAGCCCAGCATTCAGGGAGGCAGAGGCAGGTAGAACTCCAAGTTCAAGGCCAGCCTGGTCTACAAAAGTGAGTCCAGGAGAGCCAAGGCTATACAAAGAATAAACCCTGTCTCAAACAAACCCAAGGGGGAAGAAAAGAAGAAGAAGAAGAAGAAGAAGAAGAAGAAGAAGAAGAAGAAGAAGAAGAAGAAGAAGAAGAAGA